TATATATATATATATAAACAAAAAAAAAAAGGAAATGTCTTAACCTGATGTGTGTGTGTGTGTGTGTGTGTGTGTATGTACATGCAGGTATATATAATTACTTGGAGCACATTGTATTGTTCATTCAGTGTTCATCCGAATTATGTGCAGTGAGAAAATTGATTGTCAAGTGGTATTAAACTCCGAACAATGAATTTGCAGTTCTTTGGGGAAGAAAAACCAAACTGTTGGGCAACCATGTAGGGGTGTAAGAATTTGTTGTGGCATCTGTGGGTCAAAAAATATATAGAAATAAAAAAGAAAGATAATACTGTACATTCTTCTTTTAAAGCCATCCATTTTCTACCACCTGTTTTGTTCTGGATCACACATGATCACCTAAAAATGAACATAACACACCTAACCTGAGTATGTACAAATTAAACAGGTTTTGCCAAAACTGCACTGGTGAAAGGACACTTTGATTCTCTCCTCTTTCATCTCAAACTGCTTTAAACAACAAAGCGTGTGAGGGCAAAGTGGTTTCCACGACTGTCCGTGTTTTATGTTATGTGTTGTGTTTATTATTTTACTTTATGTTAATGCTTTGTTTAGCGCTTTGTTACAGGTGCAGCTGTTGTGAAAACGCTGTACAAATCAGGATGTATTGTATGAACGTTCCTTTTTACATTTCCTTTTTGTCCTTGAATGCACGCTCGGGCCAGCCAATCACAAACCTCATTTTATGTTAGCCAATGACAAACAGCCGAGGGTGGGACAACGAGTGAGACGAGCGCGAAGAAAACGGAAGAGAAAGAGAAAGCAGAACACGTTCGATTGATTAAGAGCCAAGAGATAAGTGCTCCCTCGTCATTTGGAAGTGGGAAAAGTGGGTTTTTAACCAGAGCAGAGCATTGTGCAGACCAAGCTCACATTTGGAATAATCATAACAAAGCACACCAGTACAACAATATTATGTTCCACCACATGACAACACAACAACGTTTCTAGTGCATCGAGCAACATTGTAAATTGTGAGAGGTCCTTTCTAGAGCCAGAAAAGATTCTTAAGATAACATTTCTCTCAAAGAACCTGGAGGATGTTGCACTGGAGCCACGGGTGCACGCATACAATTTAATTGTCGGGTAATAATGTTCCCCACTACTCCCATGCATTTCATGTTTCCTCCCTAAAGAGTGGAGTATGGGAAGTGGTTTGAATGTGGGACCCTTGTGGTTAATTGAGAAGGGGTGGAGCCTAATAGATCTTAATTTAGTCCAAAACAAAATACTAAACCCACATATATGTGTTTATATTTATTTATAAACTTTTTGTCTTCTAATTTCTCCCTTTCATAATTTTGCTGCTGTAAATTGGGAATTTCTCCATTGTGAGACAAATAAAGGTTTTCTTATTTACTGTACAGTCGACACCTGCTATTCGGTGGGGAGACTGACTGAGCTAGCCCACGAAATGGGGAAAATCCACGGATAAATGAGATTGAAATGCACGGTGGAAGGCTGATTGTAAAGTATCACAGAAAAGACAAAGAAATACCCCCCCACCCCCCCAAAAAAAAGAGAATACTGTAGGTGAATCTGCGGGTGCCGATCTCACCGCTCTGTAAATTCTTTGCATTTCCTATCATACATCAAATTTTTGGGGGGTATGTCATCATGGGATTGAGAAAGTATACATCCGGGTATGCTGTGCTGCTTTACCTGTGAGTTCTGGATCTGAATGGTTCCCGGTGCCAGTGCCTGCGTTAACACTTGTCCTTGTGATGTCACCATAGCAACCGGCTGATACAGCGTCCCACCTAACATGAGAAATGACTGTCATGAGAATCCATTAGTTTCAGCAGACTGACACATCCGAGTCCCACACAACTTGTGGAGTCTTAGCACATAAAAGTAAATAAAAAGCATGACAACCAACAGCAATGACTGCTGAATTAAGGTTGTGAAGAAAGAATTGTTTTCCGCTGCTGGTCTAATTAGCCTTGATCAAGACAATTTCCACAGTCAGTTTGAGCGCTTCAATGTCTCGCGATCAAAAGATGACAGATTGATTCATTTGAGGTTAAAGGAGATTTCCAGAGGGCAGGATTAACATTTCACTGTACACGGTTGCCATTAGAAGGGTCTGCCAGCCATGCACCCAGCGAAGGATAATTACCACTCTTACTAAACCTAACAATGTGTGAACATGGACCATTTGATGAAGTTGAACCTACGTATAAGCCAATCAATTAAACCAATTACGAATTTATTTTCTCTATCTTTAATCACTCTTTGTAATCTGAAATTTAATTAAAACTCCTTTAAGAATATTTATCACACTGATGTCTAGTATTATTTACTATAACACTATTTCATGGAGGCATGCACCTTTGTTCTCCATCCATCTATTTTCCAATCTGCTTATCCTCACAAGGGTCGCGGGGGGTGCCGGATACTATCCCAGCTGTCTTCGGGCAGTAGGCGGGGGACACCCTGAACCGGTTGCCAGCCAATCGCAGGGCATACACAGACGAACAACCATCCATGCTCACACCCACGCCGAGAGAGAATTTAGAGTGTTCAATCAGCTTCCCATGCATGTTTTTGGAATGTGGGAGGAAACCAGAGTACCCGGAGAAAACCCACGCAGGCCCGGGGAGAACATGCAAACTCCACACAGTGAGGCCGGAGCTGGTATTGAACCTGGTACCTCTGTGCTGTGAGGTCGACACACTAACCACTGGACCACCTGTGTTCTCATCAGCTCCAAATTCATTCATTAGATGTGTATGTACAAATTCTTACCCGATACCACTTGAGAGTTGATGGTCGTCATAGAAACATTGCCCTGCTGCAAACCCCCACTGGGTGCCACAATCCCTGCAGGGTTGACAGGGTTGGACACAGAGGTCATGGACGGAGAGGAGGTCTGATTTAGTTCCTGGGGTATCATACAGAAACACAATACGTACAATGAAGAGATAAAAATAACGAAAACAAGCAGTGGTAATATACATAATAAGATAAGAGCTGTCCAAAGTGTGAAATTGACCTGCTGCATGCTGAGATTGGTGTGCGTAGGAGAATAGGGTGCCCCCAGGTCGTTACGGAGGAGGTTGTCACTGTGCATCTTGGTTTTGAGGCAGGTGATGTATCGGTTGCAGAAATCCTTACAGAGTTCATTGACCTTCTCGAGCTCCAATAAGTGGATCCGCAACACTTGAATAGCTTTAACCATCTGAAGTTGAAAAAAAGCACACGATCACAATATAAATACCGTATTTTGTGCACAATAAAGTACTCCGGATTATAAGGTAGAGAATAAAAGCGACAATAGTGGCTGAGGTTACAATAAGCATCCACTAGACTAGATGGTGCTATGTAAAAGGGAATACAATACAATACAATACAACACAGCTTTCTGTATATCGAGCCTTCACAACCAATGCAGCTGTAACAATGAGAACTGGTCACAAACACGGACATGAAACATAAATACAAATTGTATTACAAAACATTAAATGAAAGACAAAAGTTATGAAGATAATTGATTCAATGAAAAGGCACACAAACCTCGTGGGCTCACATCCACAAGGGGCGAATTATCCTGAGAAGTCTTGCTTGTCTCCTTCCTTCATTTAATCAGTAGTTAACTATGCTTTTGGTATTATCTTCATTATTCATTTCACAATGGCTGCGGTGAGCAAGTCTGTTTGAGTGTGTGTTGGCGAATGCACGTCAATTAGTGTTGGGCTCCTGCTAATAATCACCACTAGATGGCATTGGAACACTAACAGGGAAACAGCCCAATGGGGAATATATAGAGAGTTACACTCTCTTTCTATTAGGCGCATCGGACTAAAGGGCGCACTGTTGCCTTTTGAGAAAATTGAATGTGTTTAGGTGTGCCTTATAGTGCAGAAAATACGGTACACCTTTCATAAAACCTGACTTGCCACACTCCTAGATTGCCCACTTTACGGTGTTATATACAGCAGCACTGTATGCTCTCACTGAATGGTATTGTTCAGAATTGTGTCCACTGCTTCTCGAAACGGACAGGGTTTCAATACAGTAATCCCTCGTTAATCGCGGGGGTTACGTTCCAAAAAGAACCAGTGATAGGTGAAATCTGTGAAGTAGTGAGATTTATTTTTTACAGTCATTATACAATACTGAACTATGTATACAATGAAACCAAAGACCAAAACCTGTTTTCAGGCCCAAGCACAAAAAAAACAAACATTTTCAACAAATAACTATAATAGTTTTTGGAAATACTGTACTGTAAAATAATATTGCTTGAGCGCGTCCTCAGGCGCCTTTGCCGGTGCAGAACGTTTCGTCGACATTGTGGGGTATATATGTACAAAGACGAGGTGCGGAGACTGTTCACGTTGGTCAGTGCCTTACCCAATCAGGATGCAGAACGCAATTCACTGTTGAAAAGCATTAAAAAAACTGCCCAAAAAAAAAATCCGTGAAACAGCGAAGCCGCGGAAGGTGAACCGCGTTAGAGCGAGGGATCACTGTATTTCAAAAGGCAGAATCATATCAGCAAGAGTTTTTGTTGCTGTTTAGCTTTCACGTTTTTTGGCTTTAATCTTTGCCTCTCAAGACAGGAAAATAAAGACACTGCTATCAATTTATTAAGCGCAAAGCAGTCATAACGCATAACTAATGTGGGGGGGTTGGGAGCAATTAGAATTTGTTTTAGGTTTAACCCTTTCTGGGACAGTGGTTACTACAGTGGACAAGTTATCAGATTAAAGGGTTCAATAGGTGGAGTATTTTACACGTTGAAATTTGATATCTTTGTGTCAACAATGCTCTGATTCTGTTTTTTTTTCCTCCTCGTTGGTTTGTCTCATCTCTTTCTAAACTTCTGTCAGAAAGAAACCGTTTCTGTGTCTGTTCTATTAGTTAGGAATTTCACCCGTTGCGCTTTTATGTCCTCCTGTGTTTGTTTGTTTTTTTTTTCCGCTGTTGTGGTTTATTTCCTTTGTTTTCCGCTTTATTTTTTTAAATAGATGTCTTCAGTTCTTTTGTCCTTTTCAGCGACCAGCTCCTCTCGTGTTTCATGCGTTCAATTCTGTTTTCTTTTACCCGCTTTCTGTAGGTTTCCATGTGAACCTTTTGCTGATATAGTTTTTCGTTTCCTGTATTTATTTATTTTTTCTTGCTCACATTACACATGCTCCCTGAGTTAAATAAAATGATTGTTTGGTTGTTTTATTTTGAAATGTCTCTGCTTTTTATTTTGGGTCGATAATCTGTGTACATGATCTTAACAACCAAAAAAAATGTTAGAGCAGTTTGAGGAGATGGCAAAATTTTGAGCTAAATGTCAAATAAACGACTCCAAAATAGTGGTAAAACCTAAATGCATTGCAACGGTAGTTGTAATCTGTTTAGTATTCAAAAGAACACAAAATGGAAATGCCATCGTGATGATGCAAGTCAAGAGTCAATTCTTATTTGAAATACCGTGTGAAATTGGTATTGGTAAAGAATCAACAGTCACCACTAAGGAAGTAAAACAAAATATTTCGGACATTCTAACACACATTCACACCTATGTACACATTTTGTCTATAGGTGAATCTTTTTGAGACATACAAGAGCGATGTGTTCACCACTATGGCATGTCCGATGCTTCAATCAAATATTCCGTCTTTTGTTCTCATCAGCCGTTGTCTCAACATCAACGACATTGATATTCTTCGCACCGTCAGACACACTACAATAAACCCCTTCAAAATTAAGGTCAACAGAATGGACAGAAATGCGCTTGACTAAGGAGGAGAAAATTCAGCTAATTAAACTCGGTGAGTTTAATAACAAGACAGACTTTTGCTCCCATTGTAACCAGTCAGGCCCAATGTGACATTACCATGGGGAGGAAAAATGAGTGGCCCCTGGGAGGGACGCTTGTACCCTGTGCCTCATAAAACACACAGATGCAGGGTTAATTGACTGTTCAACCCTCATCGGCGTACTCTCATAAAGTTTTGTATCTGTCTTTGTTTCAAGGGAGATAAAAACCTTGTAATTCACAAAAATTCAACCACAAGAGTCCACTAATCATTAAAATTCAGAAAATTACATGCACTGAGAAATTGATAGACGCTTAATATTCAAACGGGTGTAATTTATGTTGAGCACTGTGATTGTGTCATCTTGGGTCGACTATGTGGCCAACATTAATTAATCCATCCATTTTGTACAGTACCTAGCTTGTGCTTCAACATTTACGGGGAGCAATAATAATAAATAATGTAAAATTATGTGCTGAAAGAAAAGGAGCTTTTAATATAACGGTAATGCCTCCTTCGCAAGACATGGCGCCCATCATTCATCCAAAATCTGTGTCATACATTGTCACCATCACGACGCACACATTTCTGCGAACGACTGCTACAGTCCTCTGCTATGCTAAAGCTATCCATGTACCGTATTTTCCGCACTATAATACACACCTAAAAGCATTCAATTTTCTCAAAAGCCGACAGTGCGGCTTTCTAATGCGTTTTTGTTGAATCTCAATTTTCTTCATAAGTTTTGTCTTTCATTTATTTTGTCATGCCATTTGTATTTATATGTTTCATGTCCGTGTTTGTGACCAGTTCTCATTGTTACAGCTGCAGCGGTTGTGAAGGTTCGATATAAATAACATTGTATTACATTGTATTGTATTCTCTTTAGCATAGCACTAACTAGTGGATGCATAGCGCAACCGCAGCCACTATTGTAGTTTCTATTCTATGCGCATTATAATGCAGTGCACCTATAGTGCAGAAAATGCGGTACACGCTCTCTTTGAGTGTAAAATGTCAAAACCTGTCCGACTTCCAACCTGTGCCCATGTTCTCCCTCATCATTTCTCATGTGTACACAAAATCTGGTTTCAACTGAATTCTACAGTGCTCCCTCTCCAACCCATCCAGTTTGAAAATCGAGATGAGGCAGTGAATGTTGATTCCAAATGACTTCCACAGGCGTCAATGGCAGTGAATGAGTTAATTGATTGAAATTAATGAGAGTCTGAAATTAATACAATTTTCAGTTTAAAGGGGAAGTCAAGTCAGATATTTCCTTTCAAGTAACACAGTATGTTTTATAAGCTCCCACTAGTCTAAACATGGTATTATGATTCATATTGTGTTTGTGGAGTATTAAATTGAAATTTTTTTTTGTTTTTGGCAAATAATCATTAACTTTGAATTTTATGGCTGCAACACATTCCAAAAGTAGACTGAGAAAATTGAGGAATGCTCATCAAACACCTTTGTGGGACATTCCACAAGTGATGAGGTTCAGTGGGAACGTGCATGTCATGATTGCCTATAAAAGGAGCTTCCCTGAATTGCTCAGTCATTCACAAGCAAGGATGGGGTGAGGTTCACCTCTTCGTGAATATTTAGATGATGAAATAGTTGAACAGTCTCAGGACAATGTTCCTCAATGTACAATTGCAAGAAACACCGCTGGTTTCTCTGGGCCAGAGCTCATCTAAACTGGACTGATGCAAAGTAGAAAAGTGTTCTGTGGTCTGATGAGTCCACATTTCAAATCGTTTTTGGACATTGTGAACTTCATGTCCTTCGAGCCAAAAAAGAAAAGAACCATCTGGACTGTTAGGGGCACAAAGTTCAAAAGCCAGCATCTGTAATGCTATGGGGCTGTGTTAGTTATTGCCAATGGCATGGGTAAGTTCCACATCTGTGAAGGCACCATTAATGCTGAAAGGTACATAAAACCATCCAAGCAACGTTTTTTTCATGGATGCCCCTGCTTATTTCAGGAAGACGATGCCAAATTACACTTGGCACATATTACAACTGTGTGGCTTCGTAGTAAAAGAGTGCAGATACGAGAGTAGCCTGCCTGCAGCCCAGACCTGCTCCCCACTGAAAATGTATCGTGCATTATGACAGCGGAAATCCTCGACTGTTGAACAGCTGAAGCTGTACTGAAACCACGAATAGGAAAGAATTCCACCTACAAAGCTAAACATTTCAGAGTGATCTCAAGGAGACATGATGCATTTCCGCCCCACTATCTAAAACAGTTGTGAGGTGTCTTTCATGACAATATCCCAATGATAAAACCCCTCTGTCATTAATCATTTTTGTGTGTGTGTGTGTGGTGGGGGGTACATGTGCCACTGCTTACCCTGACCCCTTATTTCAGAGCAAATGCTAATTATGGATTTTGACCAGCTGTTGTCTCTCCTCAACTCAGTGTACAAGTGGAAAGTGCCAGTCGCTATGCAGCCGGAACTTACACACCTGTTGGCAGGTTACGGAGTCTCCACCCAGAGGCCTTTACCATCATAACTTGGAATATGACTCACTAAAGGCTGGATGGAATCAGTACTCCCAACTTTTAACCAGAACGTCCACTGTACACCAAGGGACAATCAAGCCCTGGACTTGCTGCATGCAACCACAAGAGATGCGTGCAGCAGTACGACCCTGCCCCCATCTGGATTATTGGACCACAACCTCATGTTGTTAACTCCTCCGCATGGTCTTGCAGTTCAAAGGCCTCTCATAACAACAAGCAAAGTGCTGCAGGATTGCTTTGAGTGCACAGGCTGGGATGTGCTTTGTGATCCACACTGGGACAAGATCAGAGTTTGAAAAGGCTCAAGCATCAACTCAAGTTAAGACCAAAATTGGCAAAGGACTTAATAGTAGTAAACTGGAGCTAAAACTCCAGCAGAATGAGGTGTGGAGGGGGGATAAGAAAAATCACAGGTCTAAACATAAAAGATCATCAAACCTAGGTGGGCACTCTGGACACGGCTATTCAGTTTTCCAGATTCATTTCTGTACTCCTTGTTCATTCCGCACACCTTACCCAGACCCAACATCAGTTTCCACGACAACCAACCACCACACTTCACACCATCCCTAAGTCACACAGATTACGCCCCCCCCTCCACAAACTCTTACATCCTTCTGAGCGGACCAGTATTAGGGTCCTGAAGGTTGTCATCTATCTGGTGTCCTGAAGCAGACTCAAAATTATCCATAGGTGTGAATATGAGTGTAATTGATTGTTTCTCTACATGTACATTACAGTATATTGCTAACATGATGAGCTAATGCAAAAATCTTGTGGATTGTGAAAGAATTCAACAGAGACCTCTTCTAACACATTTTTTAAATGAAATTAGTTGAGGGTAAAAGTGGTGGATTGGTCAAGTATGTACCCAGACCTTAAACCTACTAAGCATCTGTGGAGCACATAGTCTCTATATATCTGCCAGCTATGTAATAATGTCATGGAGGGGTGGAAAAGAATTCAAATGGAAACCTTTGAAGCACTAGTGAACTCCAAGATCAAGAGGGGTCACACAGTTTTGGATAATAATGGTGGCTACACGGCATATTGATAGTGGACACTTTCACCGAGAGGCATCTTTACATACACATTTGCGATACAAGCTATATACTGACTACCTTACATTGTAGCGAAGTCTAATTTCCTTTGTGTTGTTCCATGAAAAGCTACAAGGAAATATTTACAAACATGTAAGGAGTTTACTCACTAGTGGATACCATAACTCTTCAATACCTGTGCAAATTATTCCACCTGATGTGCTTGTTTGTGTTTTCAGTGAAGATAAATGGTGCAGCAAACATCAGATACAAAAAAAGTCAAATTTAAAAGCCTCAGGGTGGATGCAGGCAAAGAAAGAACATGCCAAGTGCACAGTCCTAGCGGCTATAAGGGTTTTGTCAAACAAAAACATGTATTTCCATATATTACCAAACTTAGTCTTTGCAGCGGCCCAGATGTACCACTACTCTTATAAACCAGCCCAGTACTTCATCTCAATGTTATTTATGAGCAGATATTTCATGAAACCAAATAACTCACCAAGTTGTCCAGCTCTGGATCTTCACTGAAGAAAGGCTTATGATCCCGCTCCTGCTGGTGAACAAAGTTTTCAATGTCGACATCAAAGCTGGCAGACGTGATGCACTCAGATCCCTGTGTAGCCTGCTCACATTTCTCAAACAACAACGCCAGCAGGGGGAACAACGGATGTCTAGGGAAAAAGAAAATAAGAGGGCCCAACAAATCAGTGGTGTGCCATCAGGGCCGTCTCCGCAGGCGCAAACACTGTCAGAAACACAGACCTACATTTACAACTCAGTGTATTTTCCGCGCTATAAGGCGCATCTAAAACCATTCAATTTTCTCAAAAGCCGACAATGCGCCTTATTAATCCGATGCGCCTGACATATGGTTTAAAATTACGATTTTTTGGATATAGTATTTTAAATGTTCTGTATAGCACTTTGTTCCAGCTGCAGCGGTTGTGAAAGCACAATATAAATGAAGCTGTATTGTATTGTATTTTCTATAGCGTAGCTCCATCTAGTAGATGCATAACGCAACCTCAACCACTATTGTAGCTTCTATTCTATGCGCCTTATAATGCAATGCACCCTATAAATGAAAACAGTTTTAAAATAGGCCATTCATCGAAAGTGTGCCTTATAGTGTGGGAAAATACGGTAAATGCAGTGGAAATAATTTATTTCCAAGAGTCTTTTGTCTTCATTTTATTGCGTGTATCATGACTGCACGACTCCCAGTCCTTCGGGGATTGACTTATTTTTTTGGGGTCCAATCAGATTTCAGCCTTGATGTGTTGCCTTGCACATATCATTTCATCCAACACCTTCAAGACCTCAAGTGCAGACATCAACCACACTCACGGCACTGAAAATGCTGGTTCTTCTTTTAGCCAATCAGATTGTAGATTCACCTACAGAAAGCCATCCCGCAGACCCTGCGATGAGTGAGTTTCTCCGTGTCATGATTCGGTTTGGGACCAACAGGTGGCACTGTAGGGCTGCAGCTGAACACCTGTTGGTCATTAGGTAATTAGTGCTTTAAAAGGACTCCCAGCCCGACCACTCATGGTCGGGTCATTGTTGCTCTTTGCTACTGTCATGTTTGTTTGTTGCCGTTTCTCTGCTGCTGTCACGTTTGTTTTGGTCATGGTTCTGTTTTAGCTTCAGTCATGGTTTTTGTTTGATACTTTGGACTATGTTTGTTTAGGATTTAGTTTTCTGTGTTTTATCAATACACTTCTTCAAATACCCCCTGCTCCTCCCTCTTGCCTGCTTTTTGGGTCCACCTCGCCACGTGACACTCCGTCCCCTCATTGGTTTGGCTTCTATTGCACCTAATTGGTTCAGCTCAATGTGCAGCCCGAAGCTTGATTTACGACGGAGAACGATATCGGACCATGATTGAAAATTCACTTTCAAGGCCGTAAAATAAGGAAGAACTTCTTGAAGTTATTTTCCTGTAATTTGGCTCACCAGGGAAATTCATGACAGTACCATTCTGAAATTGATATCAGGGATGTAATCAAACAGTAGAAAAAAAAGGCAAAAGCAGCCTTAGAAACAAAAAGAGTTCAATGTTTATCCAACCTAAATCCATCCATTTTCCAATCCACTTTATCCTCACACAAGGGTGGCGGGGGGTGCTGGAGCCTATCCCAGCTGTCTTCGGGCAGTAGGTGGGGGACACCCTCACCAGGTTGCCAGCCAATCACAGGGCACACGTAGATGAACATCCATTCACGCTCGCAATCACACCTAAGGACCATTTAGATTGTCCAATCAGCCTTGGAATGAGGGAGGAAACTGGAGTACCTGGAGAAAACCCATGCAGGCATGAGAAGAACATGCAAACTCCACACAGTAAGCCTGGAGCTGGAATCGAACCCTGCACCTCTGTACTAAGGCCAACGTGCTAACCAGTCAGTCCACCACTGGGCCGCTCCCCCAACCTAAATCATTTATGCATATTCATTCCAAACACTGTGTTGTCTTGCAAAGAACCCCGCTTGCATGGCAAGGCCCCTCCTCAGACTAACCTGTGACTCTCATTTGCATCCTCTAATAGTCCTCTATATTATACTCTAATCTGCCTGATCCCAAATTAATGTCACTCCTTCAGACAGACGTGGCCAGCATAGTAAGCAGGAGGGTTACATGCACAGTAAAGAGCCTCTGCCTTGTCTGTTTAATGTCTACTTGTGGAGGGTTGAATAAAAATTAGCCTGGTTATTACACAGGCACTAAGGACGATCTCAGCACAAAAAAAATTCGGTTCCGGTGCTCTCCACTGTGCTCAACATGAGTCCCACCCCTTTGAAAAGTAAGCTTTTTATGAGTTTTTCTCCATACAATACAATACAATACAATACAATACATCTTTATTTATACAATGCTTTTCGACAGCTCTAGCTGTAACAAAGCGCTTCACTTGAGCACACATAATCCTAATTTTCTGAATTTTATGGACGATTAGACTCACCTGTGGTTGAATTATTGTGATTTAATTTCATCATGCAGAAATATTTATTTTGAAAGGAATCTCAAGGTTTTCTACCAAATCTGTTGGGGGCGTATAATTGATATTTGCACACTAAATATTTAGAGCAGTGGTTCTTAACCTGGGTTCGATCGAACCCCAGGGGTTCGGTGAATCAGTCTCAGGGGTTCGACGGAGCCTCTGCCGTGTAGGAGACACACCCGACTCAACATGTCAATTAGTTATGACATGCCCGCTTGACCATCACTGGCTGGAGATGATCACATTACATTGCTTGTCCAATCAGTGCTGCGGGAAATTTAGCTTGCTCAGTAGTCAACGTGTGACTGTCGTGATGGTACGGCATTTGATATTTTTAGAATGTTTTAATACCTGCTAACCATGTTGAGTAAAAAAATGAAGTGGTCAGACGAATATGTACTTCATTGATTCACATGCATCGCAGAACGTGATGGGACTCAGCATCCTATCTGCATGATTTGTCATGCCATGTTGAGCAACTCTGGAGGAACACTTCTTGAATTTTTATTTTTCAGTAATGAAGGGTTCGATGAATTTGCATATGAACTGGTTGGGTTCGATACCTCTAATAAGGTTAAGAACTAGTGATTCAGAGTAATTTACTTGCCTTTTCCAATTCATCTAGAAACAAAGAAAAATGACTAATATTAAGACAACAAATGTGCCAATTCCACACATTCAAAGTTTATAGGGCAGATTGGCTTACTATAGTATTATGGGACATTTAGGCTAGAATATCACAACAGTGCCCAACCAAGCGGTCATGGTCGACCGGTAGTGAGCGGACTGGCCCCAGGTCGACCGCGAGGATGCGGGTGGGGGTGTGTATATATATATAGACTTCACAGCTCGGACCTCCCGGCCCAAAGGGCTTTCAGGAATTCCATTCTGACCTTATTTGAGACATGTTACAATCATGGTCAACATCTAAATACAGGCAACCTTTTGTTTTTGGGCTTCTATTTTTATATCCAGAGATGAAAGTGGACTTTCCTGAAAATTCCGGGAAAAAAAAATATATATATATATATATATATATATATAAATAACCTTTCGACCAAATCTCGACTTTGTTGTTGCAGGTGTTATAGAAAGTTCATAAGAAGTAAGGTGAAACATTATCATTTTAATCGATCTGGTAATAGAACCGTATAATCAGATAAAGGGTTTGATTAACCCTCTCAGGGACAGCGGTTACTACAGTGGACAGCTTACCATGTTATCACATTGCAGGGTGCATGAAAGGGTTAAATATCATTTAGTGCCACCTTGAATACATTACAAAACCTTCTATTCATTCACTCACTCACAGCATGTGACATAATTGTCCGAAACAGGTGCTGGCACCAGAACACCCTTGTGTGGTCCACAGTGCTGCCCACCAGCCATACGTTACAAGTTTCAACAGCATGGAAAAAAATAAAGCTTGTGGGAAACACAAACATGATACAACAGTATCGAGTTCCACTCATAACATATCCTGGGAGAGTTTGCAAATTGTTCACAGTTAATTTTGAAAATGACTGACAATTCTTTTTTGTTTTTTTTTTTTTTTTTTGCTGTTTTACTTAATGCTTGTACTATTCTGAAATGACTTGTTTCATTATAAAAATAAAATAAAATTGTCTTGCTGAATCACTCCTGTTTTCTGAACCCTTTCATGTATCCTGAAACCTGATCACATGATAAACTGTCCACTATAGTAACCGCCGTGCCTGAAAGGGTGTATAAATGATACATTTTCCAAATCGTGACAGAGTATGAAGACTTTTTGTGGACAGATGCTACAAAGCAATGGGCGATTTGAGATACAAAAGGCCAATGAAAGATACAGTATGTGGCCAATGGAAGTCCTTCTGTGTTAAGATGAATTCTATACAGGATGTATTATGGAAAAGTTACTTTTGAATTGAAATCTCAACAGTTAGGTATTGAGAGTACATACGAATGAAGTGTGAATTCACACATACACATATTTTATGAGCTGCCTATTTCCCAAAATATGACTGTGAGCAAGCCGTTCTGACTTTTGCCAGCATGTGATGATGGGCAGCATTTGTTTTTGGCAATGTGTCCCCGACATGCACCACATACACATGCATATTCAATTGACAAATGTAATTTTGTAAACATGTCACAGATATGCTTTCTAAGACACCTGTGAACTGTTTTAAATTGTGAGGAAAAAATGCATTTCCTTTCAGTTGTACATTCAAGATAAAATGAACCAAGAGCAATCCTGGCTGCGAAAGAAATTTAAAACGATGTTACCCAAGCTTTATTGAGCCAAGTCACCCATTTTAGATAAAAATGGCACAAAAAGTGTGAATATTGAAATAATGATTATCTTGTGTCAATTTACCGTATTTTCTGCACTATAATGTGCTTTGGATTATAAGGAGCACTCTCAATAAATTGACTTTTTTAAAACTGTTTTAATATATAGAATAGAAGCTACCATAATGGATGTGGTTGCGTTATGCATCCACTTGATGCTGCTACGCAAAAGGAAATACAATACAACACAGCTTTATTGCAATAGAGCCTTCACAACCGCTGTAGCTGTAACAATGAGAACTGATGACAAACACGGACTTGAAACATATAAATACAAACAGCATTAAAAAAATAAATAAATGGAAGACAAAAGTTATGAAGACAATTGATTCAAGAACAAGGCACACAAATCTCATGGCCTCACATCCACAAGGGGCTAAATATCCTTGAAGGCTCTTTTTCTCCTTTTTCCTTCCTTTAGTCAGGAGCTAACTAAGCTTTTGGTATTATCTTCGTTTCATAATGGCTGCGCAGAGCTCACAGAGTAATTGTCTGTTTCAGTGTGTGTTGGCGAATGCACATGCCAATTAGTGTCGGACAGAACCTTTTTTGGTTACAATTGGTTCCTGCTAATAATCACCACTCGATGGCATAGGAACACGAACAGGGAAAGAAATCAATGGGGAATACAGTATAAAGAGACTGTTACACCATATGATGTATTGAATTGTATTGTATATATAAGGCGCATCGGATTACAGGGCGCATTGTTGGTTTTTTATCAAATTGAATTTGAACTTTTAGGTGCGCCTTACAGAGCGGGAAATACGGTACCGCACCTTCAATGATTGGTCTATTTTGTATTTTTTTTTTCATATATTGCACGCACTGGTCTATAAGGCGCAATCTACAATGCATCCACTAGATGGAGCTACAGGTACGTCTTTGTCCGTCTCCGTGCCTTCTCTTCTTCGTTACTCAAGAGGCGTTCATGGCCACCTCCAAAAAAAACGTAAATTAACAATTACTTCAATGAAACTACGAAAATTGATCATACAGTAATGCATCAAAACAGAAAATCACAAAATAAATTCTATAGACCCCCGACAGAATTTATTTTGGCATTTCCTTGAGCGTACCAGCAACAGAACGATCGGATGTCAGTAAATTGGAGGGGACTGGACTGTCTCAGAAGTGCTTGTTATTCATTCCTTGGTTGTGTGCTGTATTCACAAACGAGGAAATCACAAAATAAATTCTGTAGTGGGGCTATAGAATTTATTTTGTGATTTTCTCGCTTGATTTTCTGTTTTGATGCATTATTTTAAATGTTCGTAGTTTCAATAAAGGAATAGTTAATTTACGTTTTGCCGAGGCGGTCATGAACACCTCTCGAGTTGAACGGAAGAAGAAAAGGCATGGAGACGGACAAAGACGTACCTGTATTTGTTGAGACTGTGAAAACCATTCATAAAGTGTGTTTTAAAAAATAACACCACAGCTCTCCTTTTTTTGGAGCTGCAACAAAAACGTATTTAATAAATCAGCGACACAGTTCACTGAACCAACAGCAAGTTATAACATTGTAAGCATGTCTCCAGCAAGGAGCCATCTTGGGGTCGACATATTACCGTAATGACCATACATAAGGCGCACCGGATTTTAAGGCGCGCCGTGAGCTTTTAAGAAAACTGAAGACTTTTCGGTGCGCCTTATAGTGCTGAAAATACGGTACTCACAAACTGACTGAGTTTGAAATCCAAGCTGGTTATTTTTTTGTTTAATTTTTTTTTTTCAGATTCAGGAAACTTTATTTATCCCCATGGGGTAATTGGACTTAACAGGCACGCTCTGCACAAGAAACATGAAAAACAATGACGAACATGGGATACAGTGCGAAGGGCCTGTCGGTACTCGCCGTATGTACAGCGCCCCGAGATCTTAGTTAGAAAGTAAACACTAGGTGGTACACAAAGCTCATTTAAAACGCAAAAACTTCAAGCCCTGACTCATTCCGTTGTCTGAACGGCAACAGATATTTATACAGTTTCTAGTCCCTTCTGCCATCTAATGGGAGGGCATATATTTCTTCTGCAGGCCATTATTCTGGCATAAACATTGACATTTGTAATAATAAATATACATTTTCAGCCATATTAAGTGAAACAGCTAATTTCCCATGGCACATTTCTGGTTTAAAATAATATTAAATTAATGGTGAAATTTCCAAAAAAAGGAGCGAACTGATCTTCAGCATAAATCTGGTACCCTCACTTTCAAGACATATATACACTAAGAGCAGCGCTTGACATAAAAAATGTGACCTGAAAATCTATCTTCAGATAAATACATCTAAAAATGATCGTATCTGTGATAGGCTGTGGGCTGAGGGGGGTCACTGAGTTCTGGAGGCGGAAAGTGTGAGATGGAAAGTTTTGAACCACTGAAGGCGGGTGCACACTGAATGATGCGTCAGAACTTGCGAGAACTCAAGCAGTGCGCTGGTTTTGGCAAATACTTTTCATGAGCAGCCGAGACTTGGCCACTGGTTTTACTGCAATTCAACATTTAAATCACATTTGCAGGGTATGGCGACATAACAGATGACAGCCAATCAAAATGCACATATGCTTTCACACATGTCAAAAATACATTTCTGGGTTATTAGTGAACAGGCCCTGGCCGGCCACCCCCAAGCGCCAGAAATACACAATATACAGACACGTACAGACCAACAGCATTTAATCAGATTGATAATTTGATATGTAACTGTGGATGAAATAAAGCTTGGAGTAAAAATGTGTGTGAGCAGTACGGCCACCGCCAAGCGACAGAATTACACTATATACAGACATGTACAGACCAACAGTACTTACCAAATTCATAATTTCATATGTACCTGTCGATGAAATTAGCAAAGCTTGGAGTGAAAATGTGTGCGAGAGGTATGGCCCAAGTATATGGCCGCCAGCAACTTAGTGCAGCCAAAACCTACATTTTAACTTCAATCCCGAAAACAGAAGAAAGGCACTGGGGAACACCCTCTGCCTACCTAGTTTTCATTTTTATTGTATTAAAATGTTACTGACCACTGTCAACCTAGGTGTCAATGAAGTGATATTCACCAATCAGAACGATCATCCAGTTCACCAAAGCTGACATAGTTTTTGTCAGATGACAACTGACCACTTTGGAATGGGGAAACGTTTCTTCTTCAGGGTAGGCACAGTTACACATTACCCAGGTGCTGCCACTGTGTTGGACTCTCATGCTGCACAAACAAAATGTTTTTTTTTTGTTTCCAAAAGTAAAATTCAGATCTTGGGCCTTTAAAAAAAAAAAATTAAAAAAGAAAAAATCAATGATCAGTGGGTTGAATCTAAGTCACCACAGCCTTAGCCCTGCTCCTCAGAATGGGTGTGAAAACTGAACATACATTTTGTATAACCTCACAACATTGGAGCCGGTCAAAAACAAAACCTTCACAATTTCAATGACCTTTACCCAAGAAGTCAGAATTAACGTAGCTGAGGTATGAAAATGCATGCATTTTCATTAACGAGAATAAAACTGCACTTGGCACATCACTGCCTAGCCATCATTCTCCAATGTGTTTTTGCCCGTCTCCTACAATACCTTTTCCAACCATCCTGAGCCCTTCAACCACCCCCTCCCCACCCCCATCATGTCGGCAGCCATAAGCAGCAGGTTCTATCTGCAGTGCGACAGAGTGAAAATTGCTGGCTCGGGGATCATTACAAGGGCCATAAAACAGCGATTTACAGGACAGCCAGCAAGTGGAGTCAGCACGATCTCACACCCCCTGGCACTGCACTGTCCTGGGTCACCGAGGAAAAACCCAAAACAGAGAATCAGAGGTCAGTGGGGTCCATGATGACTTTAACATGAAGCCAAAGAATGTGGCAGCTCAAGCAGCTAAACCTATGCTAAGGGTAAGATGGAAGGTGAAAAAATCTTTCTACATTTGAAGTCAATCACATCAGAGCCAGATCCCTTAAAACCTTTAGATCCAATTCTAACAAGTTATGTTTTTGAAAGGTGGTCTTTGGAAGGCCATGGACATTCATGATTTAACAGTTATGTGATTTATTCATGCAGTCCCTCGATGGCTGTATACTGGCACACACACGCACGCACACACACACACACACATACACACACACACACACACACGCACGTACACACTGCTTTCATGTGCAAAAACTTTACATCACTCTCTATGATCAGTTTGGAGCTTGTCCCGATTGACTTGAAAATTGGCTGGATCAGAATAAAGAAGTTCCATACTCTACACCAGGGGCGTCAAACACGTTTTTGGCCACATTGTCGTTACGGTTTCCCTGAGAGGGCCATTATGACTGTGAATTTTGTGAAACCGTGTAAATGTTTGATCATCTCCACATAGTACATATACAGTGCACAACAAATGGGTGGATAACTAGTTTTGAAATCAGAAGTCTAGCATAATGGTTTGTTCAGCCATTGTTTACGTTAAAGTACGTAACAAGATAAAGTGTAAAAGGTGACATGCTTGACTTGCTCTTGAGGGCCACACAAAATGATATGGGCCAGATCTGGCCCCCGTTGTTTGAGTTTGACACTCATGTTCTACATTATTCATTTTTTGTAAGTGATCAAATTGGATTGGATGGATTCACACATTAGCATTCTGTCCTGCCCCCCATCCAATTCCGCCCGCTTGACTACTGCTGAACGTGGCTAAACTTGGTTTAAATTATGTTGTGCCTGTCCATGTCTCTTGAGGAAGGCATGACATATTTTATTTTATTTTTTATTTTTTGCATGAAACAGTTCAAGCTCACCAAGGTTAAGAGATTCAAAAAATCTTAATTGTTTTACCACCAAAATGTTTGTAATCTGCCAAAGACAAATACTAAGGTGTGCATGAAAGCAGGTTCAATTCAAAACAACACCCTTATCAAGTCCACCGAAGGGGTCCGGAAAAAAAGGACAGTGGGATTTCATGGTATGTGTTGATGTGACACTGCAGAGTGAGCAAGCTGGACATCTCTCTCTCGCTTTCTTTCCATAATGTTTCCAACATAAAGACCGTATCCCACTGAGTTAACATGAGCTAACATTTGCGAATGTTGCATTCTCGACAGGGTTTGTCTGGATTCTTTCAAGGTCGCATATGCTCACTAAACGGTCCCCCGATGTTCCCGTTCCGTTTAAGATTGTATGTGAGGGATTGGGACACATATCATGCACATGCCTACACACACACAGACACTGAAAAAGAACCTTGTACACTATCCAAACAAACCCTCGTATTTTTCAGTTTTTCTGTTTAACCTGCCTTTCTCAATTTCTCTCGTGTTGTTGTTGTTGTTTTATTATAATTTTCTTTTTGAAATTAGGATTATTAGAGTTCAGACTAGCGGCCTGGTCACAGTGCAGAGGTCGTGGGTTCAATCCCAGCTCCGGCCTCCCTGTGTGGAGTTTAAATGTTCTCCCCAGGCCTGCGTGG